GTCCAGTCTTTGTAGGGTAGTGGGATTTAATAGAACAAGTATAGATCCTCTAGGCAAAAGGCTTTGGCTCTCTGTATATGAGCAAAGTATATAACTCATGTTATATATTTGGTTCCCATGCCTCTCTTCTTATACTTACAGTTCCTTGAAAATAAGGATCATTTCCTCAAATGCCTTTTTAATTGTAAGGGTATGTTTAAAAAGAAAATTGAGGAAGGCTGATATAAATTATTTATCTTTCAGAATCAGATCCTTTAAAAAAAAAATGAGGTTTTTGATTGGGAAGTAGCAGTGAAGAGAAGGAAAAGTACCACTCAGGTCAAAACAGAGATAAACTCTAGACTCTAGGAGGTGAATTCTTCTGATTTCATAATCTGCAGTATGGCTGACCCTATCTAAAGCCTTTCTTACAGCAGCTGCCAATTTCAAGTTGCCAGTTGACACCATATAACCCTCTGATAGGAATATACTCATTCTGATTAAGAGTTCCAAATTATCTTTTATGGATTCTCCCCAAATGTCAGTTGAACGCTCATCAGGGATTTATTATTTTATCTTTCAGGTAGATCTGAAATATCATGACATCTCCTAATGCCTTTAACTGCAGTTCCCTTTGGAACCTGTATATTGGGCTCCAGAAGACATGAAGTGCTTCTATTTATACTGAACACACGACTATTCCAATATCTCCTTTCTGCCCATCTACTGTACATTCAGAGACCCAGAAGATTCCTTTCTATTTACTTGTCCATTTCAAAACAGGAAGAAATCCATATTCTTTTCCATTACTCGCTTATATCCCAATATAAGAAAAAGTCCCTTAAAAATAAGTCCTCAGACAGATTTGAATATTTTCTTATGGTAAGACTGTGGGTTGGGCACCTACAATGCATTCATAACCCTTTACTCGTGCCTTCTACTCTACAAAGGTTGGAAAACTAAAATGATTCTCCATAGTTCCCTGCTGTTGGGGACACTGAGTGACTCAGTTCTAGCCAATGAGATACAAGTGGAAATCCCTGGGAGGAGCTTCCAGGAAAGCATTTAAAAAGGACAAAACCTGGCTGACCTGTGCCTTTGGCATGCTTTAGACCTCACCACCACCCCCCTTTTTTTTAAAGATTTTATTTATTTATTTGAAAGAGCAGGAGCAGAGGGGAGGAGCAGAGGGAGACAGAGAAGCAGACTCCCCACTGAGCAGGGAGCCTGATGCAGGGCTGGATCCCAGGACCCTGAGATCATGACCTGAGCCAAAGGCAGATGCTTAACCGACAGAGCCACCCAGGCACCCCCTAAAGCTTTTCATCTATTGTTATTATTAGTGATCTTCCACTATCAGCAACATGATAACGTACATTATAATGCTTTAAAGACTCAAAGGCACATTTAAAATATGGAAAGAATTAAGTTTCTTTCATTCTACATATGCACTGAAACTAGTGGCTCTCTTCACTGAATAAATCTCAACACTTAAAAAACGAATTTAAGCCTGAAAACCGTATTTATATAAAGATAGCTTCTAAACTCATCAAATACCTTCTCATACTTATTTTTGTAATGATGTTTTTTTCTATCCCAATTTGCAATATATTGCAAATAATCAAATCCTAGCCTGCAATCTTTTATGTAGTCCTAAAGAACACAATGAATTTTTCTCCCTAGAGTTATTAAATTCAGACATATGTAATTTAATGCCTAGAGACACTTAACTGCTGCTGACATTTTTGACACCGTAATTAGTAACCTAGAATTCTTTCTCCAAAACTACTTATGACATATGTGAAGACCCAAAATCGTAACTCAAGATTAAAGTCTTACTAACCTTTTCTGCAAAATATTAAAGCTGTCTAATCTCATATTTTGCAAATATAATAAAGGAAAATGAAAATGCCATTAGCAATGGCAAGTTATGACCATTTCATACCTGGATAAAACAGTAATGCTTTTTCATGTATTCATGTAATTCCGAACTGGTTATTTTATTCCTCTGAGGAGTTGCTTCAAATTGTTTGAGACATAACTTAAAAGAAAGCTGAGGTACGAACAACCACCAAAGAAATGAGAGACTTTCCTAAAAACCACTATTTTGACCATGTCATTCCTGTGCTCAAAATCTTTAATAGCTCTCTACTACTTTCATAAATTCAAACTCTGTGGCCCATCCTCCCTTTCCAGCTTTACTCCTCCCTATTTTCCCACCCTGATCAAAATTACTCTATTTATTCCAAAAGAATTTCATACTACTCAATTTTTTGTAAGGATATTCACAACAGTTATTGTATAAAGAAATTATGAAATTTAGAAGCAATTTAAGGTCAAAGGAACATCCAAAGAATACCACATTATCATTAAAAAAGTAAAAAAAAACCTGATGAATCACAGATCTGTACCCCTGAAACAAATAATACATTATATGTTAATAATAAAAAATATATATATTAATTAAAAAATAAAGTAAGATTCTCAACCAGAATTATAGACAACCTCAGATATTTAGAATACAACTGAGTCTGACATATATACCTAAACCTAGATATTCCAGAAAGAGCTCAAGTACCTTCTCTAAAATATGGGGACTGAAGAAATCCCACATAAGTACACATCCTATTGTACATATGCTAGAAATGTGATTCTACCTTCGGATAATTTGGAGTTCAGAAAAATAAAACATATGTGGTCTGATTAAAAAAAAAAAAAAGTCATGTTCTCCAAGAGCATGGAGATATGCTTACAGACCTATTTTAAAAATTGAGAACCATGACTATTTTTTAAAATGTTACAAAGAATAACAGGTTATTCAAGAAACCAAAAGCACATCATTACTACTAAAAAACAGCTAGGTAGCATAGTTCAGAAATACCTATTCACCATAATGAAGACATAACAGAGAAATAGTTTTCCTAAATATCAGCTACAGATAATAATCACAGGACTGGCTATATTGCCACCAAGAGTTAAATGTAATAGAAACAACTAAATATCTAAGTTATTAAATACATCTTTAAAGAATACAACTATAGGGCGCCTGGGTGGCTCAGTTGGTTAAGCGACTGACTTTGGCTCAGGTCATGATCCCAGGGTCCTGGGATCGAGTCCCGCATCGGGCTCCCTGCTCTGCGGGGAGCCTGCTTCTCCCTCTCCCACTCCCCCTGCTTGTGTTCCCTCTCTCGCTGTGTCTCTCTCTGTCAAATAAATAAATAAAATCTTTAAAAAAAAAAGAATACAACTATAATTTATTCCTGCAAAAAAACTATTGATGTGCTAAATGGATCTTATCTTTCAAAAGACTAAAAAGTAACTCCAGCGAGGTTTGGGGGTTCCAAGAAGCACTCTTGGAATTTTATTACCACCAAACCTGTAATATTTCAGTATATACTTAATAAATGAAATAAATTATCTAAAAAAAGGGGGATATGGTTCCTTTAGGGCATAGACTGCCCCCCGCTCTCACCCCTACTTCAGCCATAAAATTTTAGAACTCTGGAAGTTTCCATTGTGAAACTTCATGGGCTTAATATAGAAATTCTGTAGACAATTTTGATAAATGCTCTAAATCTTCAATAGACTACTAGATTTATGCAAAACACAAGAAAGCACAGAATAATTGCTATTAAAACTGCTATTCAGAATATTCAGAAACTACCAACTCACTTTGGAAACAAATTAACCAATACCTAGTGACAATTTTTATTCATATAAGAACCCAAAGGATTCAACAAGTCCAATTAAACCATGTTGAGAGCAAAGGACTATTTCTGTTTAATTCTAGCATTTAGAATATTTTAAAAGCCTTTACAATTTTTTCAGTCTTGTAATAGTCCTTTAAAGAAAGAAAAGAAACCAGAACTCTAAGTCCTTCATACACCAAAAGTACAGCCCAAATCCATTCTCTTTTCTCTATTTTCTCAGCTACCACCTAGTTTTAGTAACCAACACTTCCCCTAAATGCCTCCTAACCGACCTCTCTCTAGCTTTACTCTTGTCCTCCTAGAATCCTGTCTACACAAGCAGAACATTTTGTGCAAAATGTACACAAGATCGTATCACTTGTCATCTTAAAAGTCTCCCACCACAAATAATGAAATTCAAACCCCTTACAAGATGAAACGTGACTCTCTAGCTCTCATACCATGCTCTAGCTATGTACTAGCTCTTTTTATCCTCAAACTCACGCGCCCTCACACACCTGTTGCTCCCTTTGCTAGAAATGCCTTCCACTCCCTCATTTCCCCAGACTCTCCATGTGGCTTGCTCCTCTTCAGGATTCAGGCCTCATCTCCAGTGTAAAGTCATCAGACTTAGCATATAAAATCTGGGTAAATACTTTTAAAAAAATTATTCACTGTTTATCTGAAATTCTAACTGGGGCAACCTGCTCCAGTGTCATCTCTTTAGAGGTTTTCCCTATTAATCAACAAATCTGAAGAATCTGCTCTATCATAATCCTATTTTCTTCATAGTATCTGTCAATCTCTGGAAATTACCTTGTTCACTTCTTTGGTTTACCCATTTATTGTCATTTTCTACCTCCATTCTATAACATATAGTTCACCTTGCTCCTCTAACCCTCATGCCAAACCTCTACCCCATGCTAGCACCACAAAAACAGGGTCTTTTCTTGTTTTGAACTGTTTCCCAAATCTAACACAGCACCTAGTACAAAGTAAGCACTCATAAAACATCTACTGAATGAAAGAATGCTCTAAATTTACTTGCTTTCTAAGGTGTTTAGAATTACTTCCTTCTAATTCCATCCCTGTGAAATAATTTTAAAGTTCCAGAAGGAAAATCAGACAAGGTTTCTAATGCAAGCAAGTGATCTGAATATCACAGTTTTATGTGATTCATTTTATTACTATTGTACTGCAACAAGACAAATAAGAGCTGTTCAAAATTATTTGTACATGACCAGAAATAACTCTATAAATATAGAAACATTAAAGGTATGCTTATAGAAAACAAACTTTATAAGAATGTAAAACTATGCAAATCCACTGTACCGTCTTAATAGAACTCCTTTGTTTTTCTTCCCAAACACCACTGCTCAACTCGAGTGTACAATGAATATTTGCTTCTCTGTCATAGGATCCAAAAATAAGTAACCTGCAGTATAAAAATAAAACAAGGAGACTATTATAACAGTTATACACAATAAAATTTTTCTCTGATTATATCAAGAAATAATAAATTACTCCATTACTATTTATAATTTTGGTAACAGGAAAAAAAAAAAAATTAAGTCAAACACTTAGTACACCCTCTAGTGGAAAAGTGAAGTAAAGCTAAAATTAGGTGAAATTCCAGGACAAGCTGTTTCTTACAGCTAAGTCAAACAGAAAGTGGTATGTATTCATGAGGCAAACAAACTGACCAGACAGCAAAAGCTTCAGATCTTCAAATCAGACTGTTGAATTTAAAAAATAAGTTGCAGAGTGATATACATAGTATCATACCACCTCTGTAAAAATTAACACATTCATAAAATAGTACAATATAGTTGCTTATGAACACACCCACACACTTATCCATCTAACAGTGTGACTTCAGGCAAATTATTTAACTTCTCAAAAGCCATCTCTCTCTCTGAAAAATTCAGGGCAAAACATAGTAACACTTAGAGCTGTTGTGAGAACAAAAGAAGACAATGCATACAAGGCATTTAGTATAGCACCTAGTAAACACTAAGTGTTCCATAAGTGTTTGCTATTTCTATTATCTTGAAAACAATTGTCAAGGAATAACAGCATCACCTAATTTTACTGTTTAATATTCAGATCTAAAAAGGAGATCTCAGGCCCAATCTTGAGATGATATAAAGCGGTTTTATTATTGAAGGAAAAAAATATTACCCACATGTCTAGCTTCCATATTACCTGTCTTCTAAATCAGAACATAAGTCTACCAAAGTATTTCAAGAGTAAGCTTGAGAATAGCTTTAGCGTTAATCAACATTTTGACTGCTACTCTATTACTTTATGTCTACACAAAGATCATGGGGATAGAAGTGAGATTAAAAAAAAAAAAAGGTAGATAAAACTTATTAGAGTAATATGAGAAAACTGTGTCCTAAGGTTGGAGACCACTAGCAAATCATGTCCATACTTCACAAACTGGCTTCATAAACTAAAAACCTGAATAAACTCATGGCAAAACAAAAACAAAACCAACCCTAAATTTAAATAGTTTTTTTTTTTTTTTTTTTAAGATTTTATTT